GAAGGCCACCATCAGATGTTCCATCCCATGTAACCATCCCATTAGCTGCTGGGACTTCTGTCCAACCTGAGTCCTCCCACATGACCTGGACACTCAGGAGTGAGGAGGTCACACTGTGGTCTATGGCCAGTCATAAAGACGCCAGTCATCTGCTTCTTCCTCCTGGGACACTGGCTACTGAAAGCCCATGACCATGTGGTAAGTATGCCAGCACCCCACTGAGCATCCACCTGGCAGTGTCTAAGAGGACAGCGACAGCTAGCACTGAGGGCCAGCCAAAAGCCAGCAGCAGCACCCAGCCATGTGGGGCCCTCCCTGCAGAGCCCACTTGCAACCACTACATCGGATTGTCCCACTTGCTCCTCCTGAAATTGTAGACCTATGAGCAAAATACCTGACTGTTGAAGTTTTACCACTTAATTTGCAGAGGCCCCATACAGAGATTGATAACTCATTCTGTCACCAGCTACCCTGCACACTCACACTCACATGCACACTCGAACACACGCGCACACACACACACCACCCTCATCACCGTCACCATCACTCCCTCCCTACCTCTCAGGACCCTTGGTCAAGTCTCCCAAGCTTCCCAGCTACTTGGCAGGGCACACAAGCCTGTTGGACTTACCATCTTTCACTTGCCCAACTTTAAATGTCTATTCCTTTTGCCAAGATTGTCAATCACCCCAAGTTCACCTGGAAAATTCCATGTCCCCTAAGCACTGCACTTCCTGAAAAGCTGCCTCTCCTGGCCAGGCCTCCCTCTCAGCATCACTTTGCTGGCGCTGCTGTGACGGAGACCATACACTGAGTGCCTCATGCAACAACATGTGCTGTTTCGTGAAGGCTCATGATGTACCCATCTCTGCATCTCGGGTTCACTGGTATTCTTTAGTCTTCCTTGGGTGGAAACAACACATCAGTCTACTTCATGTGGAGTGTCAGGCGGGGCTCTTTAGAAGAGCAGAACCAATGACCCCACATATATGATAAAAGGTTTCTAGGGTTGGCTTACACAGTAGAGCTGGGTGGTCCTGTGTGGCTCTCTGCACACTGCATACTCAGTCCACGAGACCAGAGGCCAGAGAAGTCCCAGCACAGCCTGAAAGCCTGGAAGATTCCCGGAGTAACTGGTGTTGAGTCCTTGTTGGGAGGCTGAAGAGGCTGGAGGTGAGCGGATGGCAGTGGCTGTGACAGCTGTGCTCACTCAGGGAGAGGCTAAGGCAGTCGTGTACCGCTTTTATCCTTAGATGGCTTCATATCTGGGTCTCCCACTGAAAGGTGCTGCACACTTGGAGGGTGGGCCTTGCCCTCCATTAATCCTTCCTTCTTCACAGATCCACTCAGAGGTGTGTCTCCTAGGTGACTCCAACCCCATCAAGTTGACAGTGAGACTGACCATGACACCTGACTCTGTGTCTGTTTCGGCTTTGCATAAGGACGTCCTCCTTCTGCAGTAGGATCAGGAGCCTACCTACTGCAGTGCTATCTCATCTTAATTTAACTAACTAAATCTGCAACAAACAATATCCAGAGAACAGCCCCCGTTCTGAGCTCCTGGGGCTCAGGCCTGCAACATACAAAATTTGGTGATGACATAACCACCCCATAATAATCACCTTAGCTTGACCTTGGTTCATGTCCCCTCCTCTACCCAGGTCTGTCCCCTCAGCAGTGGTGGTTGAGGAGTGAGGGAAGAAATGGAAGGTACTAGGATTCCTGAGCAGGTATGAGTTCCCACCTGCTTGGTCCTGGTGGGTGTCCAAGCCTGGCAGCCTGTTCCCCAGGGTGGTGGAGTGTTGAGGTTCTCTGTTATGCAAGTAGAAGTCTCTTCACGTCCGGATAGCTCACGAGCTTGGAAACCATGTGTTGCAGATTCCTTTTCATAGCAGAGTGCCTTCCTGGCATCCTCCCTGACTCTTCTTTTACAGTGCTCGCCACAAATACATGCCCTCTGGCACAGGAGTTACCAGGTTTTAATCAGGCGTTGTCTGATAGCCTGATAGAAGCCCTGAACCCTATGTAAATGAGGCATCCTAAAAGTACCAATCAGCTAAGACTTCTTCTACTGTCTCTACACTATAAATAGTCCTAGTTTTACCCCAATAAAGTTGGA